CTTGACCTTGTGGGCAGGAAGGTCAAGGAAGGAGTCCCGGACGGCGTTGTTGAGCGACACGCGGCACACGTCGTTGTTGCTGTCAAGTCTGGAGGGGAAAATCATGCTTAAAAAAATGGAAATATACTTTTCGAATTGATGAGGTTCGACCCGACGGCAATGCAAACAAACCCCTGGCAGATGGCTACAAACTTACGTGAGGATGGGATGCCTGGAGATCTTGTAGAACTCGGGCATCTCCCAGCTGTAGTTGGCACGACCCTTGTCCCAGAAGTAGGCGTCGGTGGCGGTGAGGACGTGGAAGGCGTCCGGGTTGCTCTTGCGAAGGATCTCCGCCGCCAGCAGGCCGTCGGCGATGACGCTCTCCCCGCCGGTGCCGATGTGCTGCTTCAGGCAGTGGATGAAGATGATCTGCAATGACCATTTTCTCGAGTCAGTATCTCTCGCCTCGCACCGCTAGAATCAACTGATAAAATTTATTCGACGGAAAGATAGACGAGGAGGACAATGGGTCACTCACCCCGGGCATGTGCTCGTACTGGGCGAGGTCGTTGTGCATTCCGAGCTTGGCGTTGGTGAAGGCCACGTTGTTGGATTCGGGTCGGTTGATGACGGGGGAGTGTGGCCTGCAACATTTTGCATTTAATGAAAAACCGACTGACTGCGCAGAATCAACCATCGGCAGATATTCCATCCTTATATTATCAATCATCAATCAGGAACAAAGATGCATCGAGAACTTACCCGTAGTGGGAGGGCTTCACGTAGGCAATGTGCTCGATGAGTTCGGGTCCGGCGATGTCTCTGTCGGGGGCGTTCTTGACCATCGCCGAGCCCTTCTTCTCCATCGTGATGAGCCAGTCCAGCAGCACCTTGTCGTCCTTCATCATGCGCTCATAATCATATTCAGGAAGCCTATGATCTGCTCCCCAAGGTTCCTGAAGAAGGGATAGAGCAACATTTATCAATATCAAAACGTATCAAACATAATCTTATAGTGTCATGGTATTTCGGATACTTGAGAAATAACGGAGCTGCAGTTACCCTTGTGTACGCGAACTGATGTCGCCGTCTGGTGCGGGAGGTCGGCGTGAAGGCGCGATCGTACAGCCACTCGCCCGTGAACTCGCTATAATGCCCGTCTGTCCACTCCACTGTCACGCCTCGCTCGCTCTCCTGTGAAGTGGAAGCGGTTTCCATAACTCGTCTTTCTACCACTCAACTACTGAATACTCATCTCCGCATTCCTCAAATCAACGTGTCTCAATCAGCATCTGCTATTCGATCAGACTTACGGATATGAGCGCAGGCTTCACATTCAAGTCGAGGTCCTGCATGAGGAGCTTCCTGCCCAGAGCTCCTTCGCTGAAGCACTGGGCGCACTGGCAGTTGTCCCTCAGCCACACGTAAGGCAGGTCGCTGCTCGTGCCGTCGCCGAACACGAGGTGCAGAGAGTCGCTCGTCCGGGTGGCGGACATCACGGCGTTAGCTGGAGGGGGATCCTCGGCGTTAGAAAATTTGTAGAGATTCGGTCTTATGGCCTATGGTATATGGTGTTCTAAATATAAAGGGAATAATGTGTCTGGTGATACACTGTAAAGGTTCATTACCTGGTGTCTGTGATATCTTGGTCCGTGCTTGTTGCTGAGCCGCAGCTGCAAGGCTCAGACACCGGCGGTTTGTACACGTGTTGCAGCTTTGTCGCACCTGCAATAAGGTAAGGGTCCCATGTTAGGCCACGGCATTTATTTTCTATTCTACTTATTTCTTCATTGATATTAGCTGCGATCTTTCATTTACTCGACAAGTTAGAGGAAATAAGTTATGATGCATAAAACGTGAACTGACAGCTTAATTAAGTGAATCAGTAATTATTAGCAAGTGAGTTGAGATTAAAAAAAAAAATAATCTATGGTATTTAGCTACATACAAAATAGCTGAGAGAGAAAAAAAGTATTAGTAAAATAACACATTTGTTATAACCTGGCGATGGTAAGTTCGTTCTTCGTTCTTGCATCTTCTTTCTTCGTTCTTCTTGATGAACAACAAATCTGTCATAATAAAACCATCGAGGGGATTAGGCAGGTTGCCCGCCAGAGCACTGCGAGTGGCAGACGCAGACGCAGTAGTTAAAGCTAATATCCTACTTCATATGGTCGTGTGACATAGACTTTGTTTCGTAGAGAAGTAAACCTAGATGACTGCTTTCTTGATGAAAGAATAAAGTGACAAAAATTGATATCAATTCTAAGGGTATAAAGCATCTAAAATCCCACATGTGTTACTGGACCTCGCTCTTCAATTGACAAAAGACAAACAGACATGAAACGAAAGCAACAAGGGCTGAAAATACCTGCTGTCTGGCGACCCCTCTCAAAGCCGCACATCCGGCAGCAAGGGCACGTGTATACCGAAGAGAAGACATCTTGGTCGGTTTTGAGTAACGGTTACCTGTGAGGCGTGAGTTCCCCAGGTGAGTGATGGGACACCGAGGCGGTCT